TTAGTGCTCTCAGTTTGCAGAACAGGTGCAGCATTGTTTATCTTTCTCTCTGATCATTGCCAGTGATTCATGCCTCTGAATTATGCCTCTCATTAGGCGATTATTACGCATTTCACAGAGTTCCAGCTTGTATTATCCATGAGCGCATGCATAGTTTTAAGCGGTAAGCCGTCTGGTAAGATTAGTGTTTTTTTAAATATACGATCCTCCCTCTATCCTGATTTCTTCATTAATCCACGCCCCCTCTTCGTCGAGAACCCTATTTCACAGTTTCACATCGACCAACTCCCTTGTGCCGTGTGCGCGGCGCAGGAGATGCAAGGTCAGGGTCACTCCGCCCCTACCGCCGACGGGTGGTGAAACATACTCAGAAACTCCCATTCTGTTCGCGATGGGTGAGAAGGCCGTAAGGAAAGAAGTACTTTAAAAGGAAGTTGAAACCGAACTATCGCTGTAAGGTATCAGCCACATTTAAAATCCTACTGAAATGACGCTATTTCTCTGTTCAGCTGGTAATAAATGAATGCACTTTCTTCTTATGAAGTACTCAGATTTATGGGTGTCTGAGTGGATAATATTACGATCATTTAAAAAATGCAAAATTTGTGAAAATAGGAAAACGTCAGTCTATGACACAAAAACACTTGTCACTGTCACATACTAGTCACGAGCATTCAAATTTCAATTTCAAACAAGTGCATAGCTGAATTTCTGTAACAATTCGGGCTTGTGCACAGACAAAGCTTAAGATAATTTGCTGTGTAACTATATCCATTCGGTCATTTTGCTTGTTGCATGATGAATTTACTATGAAGGGACATTTTCTGCACTTCAGGTAAATCTTCAACTAGAGAGAGAGATAAGTTTACTTACAGAAAGGCAGAGAGGTCGGCCTGAGCGATAGCTTGCTCTAGCCTGCTACTCTACACATCTTCAACTAGATCAGTGAGAGTCCTGGGGATGCAGTCTCCTTTCTCTTTTTAATCAGCCGGCGTATCTCAAGTTTTCTCCGTTCCCGAGCGGCGGTGGCTAGATCAAGCGTTTCCTCAATTCGCTGGTTGCAATCTCACATTGTTTTATTGTTTTTGTCATTGTTTTTTTTATGCTAGCCACTATATGACACAACACACACATACGTCTGTTAGCCCCAGTCATGCCCACACAGTCCTTGTAATGAATATTTCTTAACGGCGCACTTTCTCCTTTCGCTGTGCCAGTAGATGTATTCTGGAAATTATGCGTTATAGAAGGTTATTACTGGAGGATTTTCCGCCTCTTTTTTTTCCAATCCTCAGAAAAACTGGAGTCCTCTGAAGGAGCGGGGACCTCTTGCCGGTATATTCTGACAGACCGCAAGACGGCAGCAGTTGGTTGTTGTACAGGTACCCGTATTTTGCGGCTTCATACAATTACATGGGAATTTTGGAAATAATCAAGGAACTCCATCACTCTCGATGTCCATGCACATTGGTCGGTTTAGGCTTCTCCGTTTATGATATGCCTATATGTATTCAGGATGTTGCTTTCTGAAAGTAATATCATCCCCTTGCGCGTCTTTTCAGACTTTCTATGGATATTTCCCACTTCTGCAGTAACAGCGCGGGTCGGACGGCAGAGAGAAGTGGCGTTTTTAGGGGCTTTTCCACTACCCGCTGGTGCGCCCGGTCACAAAACACATCGTTATAATGTCCAGAGGGTCAGCTATAGCACACGGGATAGCAGCTACAGTAGAATTAACCTCGGGAGACGTACACACGTGCTTGATGCATCCACACGTGGTCAATGCTTATATCATGCCCGCAATGTCAACATTAGGAGAGTTCCTACGTCGTGGATTTCTGAGTATCTTTGCGAGTTTAGGCGTCGAATTGTCTTCAGAAGACCATGGAAGCATGCCATGCGACGAGACATACACGCAGAAAAAAAAAGTGCGATCGAACACCGGCACGGAACGCACAAAACTGCAGCCGCAATGAAGCCAGCAGGAAGCAGCCGGTTACTTGGCGCGAAGTTAGACTGCAGCGCCCTCACACTCTCTTGGAGCAAATCGCACTTGCCTCGAAAAGAGGAGTTCGAAAACTGAAAAAGTATCTTTAAAAATTGGTCTAGCCTGGCCGTGTCACCCCTTCAAGAGTGGCTCCACCCTCCAAGGGGGAGCGCGCATTGAGGAACCCTACATATAGCTAGAGTGCCTCGAGCGCACGGGCATCAAGGCACCCTACATATGGCCATACAGAAACGCCATCACAACTCGTGCGACAGAAACTACTCGCAATTCAAGGTCATCGGCGAACACAATGTGCCCGCGCCCTCTGCGTACGCGGAGTGGCGAGTGTCTGCACCTAACTTATTCTCACAACGACGTGCGCGAGGCGCCACTGACGCGACAGTATTCATTGGCGCGACCAAAATTGGCACCGTTTCAATGCACGGGGCGCTTGGGACTTCTGGGTGAATCCGCCTTATTTCACGGAGTAGAAAAAGTTGCTCCGTGAAATGGATCTCACGACAGAGCTGCTCCAGATATGCCAATCGAACATTCAAGGAGCACTCTCAACCTGCCAGTGAAATAGACTTGCGAGCATGGAACAGAAGAAAGTGTCACCGGAAGTGCACCGAGTGTGCCAATGGATGACACCATTAGACATTTCATACTTGGGCAAGGAGGTTCGTTTTAGAAATTAGGAAGTACATTAAAGTATAAACCAGTCAATCACAGTACATACTGCGCGAATAATATATGCTTTTGTATTTCTTAGTGTCCAACCAAGCCGTGAGACTTTATGACGGCAAAGTTTCGCTTTCGTACAATAATCAATTTTTATAAAGGAGGCAACAGCCATCCTTTCATTTCATTTGTGTTTTCGCTCATGCAGTTTCTCACTGCTCCGAGCAGTTGGAGAGAAAAACATCGGAGTAACTATGCTTCAAGCACTAAAATGAAACGTTTCGTTAACACACATCTTCATTCCTCGGAGCCAATTACGAATCGTCGTCTCTGGCAAGGGAAGGATGTGTTCTTCACCGTTAGCCACAAATTTATTCCGAGAGAAAACAAAATTTTCGTCACCGCTAAGCGTGACGGGACTGCGGTGCTGGGCAGCCTGCTTTGTTTTTAAATAGTACAGCCTGAAATTAGGATTCATTATAATAAATGCTTCATTACAACTGCATTTGTAACCTCTATCAGCATTAAAAAAAAATAATAATCTAGACTCTGTGACCTACCCGACGCTTGGCCGATCCCCCTTAGTGGGGGGGGTGCCAATCATCTAAGGAGCATCCTTGATTGATATGTGGGGTTTAACGTCCCAAAACCACTATATGATTATGAGAGACGCCGTAGTGGAGGGCTCCGGAAATTTAGACCACATGGGGTTCTTTAACGTGCACCCAAATCTGAGCACACGGGCCTACAACATTTCCGCCTCCATCGGAAATGCAGCCGCCGCAGCCGGGATTCGAACCCGCGCCCTGCGGGTTAAGGAGCATCCTCATCCTCCTCTTTTTTTTCTGGTATTCTCTCTTTCTCCTCGCCTCTTATTTTTTTACCTTTTCCTACTGTTGCTGCCCTTTTTAACCTTTTCATTTATTTATTTCTCTCACTTTATTTATTCCCTTCTCTTTCTTGCTGTTTTTATTTTTCTTCGTACTTTTCCCTTTTTTTCTCTATTTCTTGCTTGTTTTCTCTTTTTTTCGCCCTGGCGGTGAAATTTACTTTTATTCCTTGACCCATAAGGTCCTTCTCCACCAATTAGGTTGGACGAGAAAGAGCATTGCATACGTGGCTAAGTAAAGTCAGTTGTTGCTCTCACAAAAACTTTTCTCCTGGACAAAATGCTGGTGCCAGCTACATTTCCTATTCATGACGACTTTTTATCTTTCAAGGCTCTATATTGTACCGCTAACTTCAGCCTTCTTTACTAGCGGAAAATGCACGCACATTGAAAAATATACATTTATGCTTTTAATCACTCACAAAATGCCCAGAACAGTTGCATAACGACAAAAAATTACATCTGTAGGTAGAAAAATAAAGAATGCTAATACTCAAGACAAAGCTGGCAGACAACACTTGAAGGCACAGTTGAAATTTGGGATATTTTCCGTTCATTTAGTTCGCTTCTCGCAATTCCGGAGGCGTGTCTGGCTGACAAGATGGATGGGCCGCTTTGAAAGCGGGCAGGCTCTCCAGGGCAGTGCTGACTCGGGACAGCGTTGGAAACTGGCTCATGTCGATCTTGAATCGGTTCGCATTGTACACCTGGGGCACAAGGCAGGCGTCCGCGATGGTCACTTCGTCTCCAACGCAGTATTTGCCGGCCGTCTTGGAAACAGTGGCTTCCAGAGCTGCACCAAGTAAGTGAACCCACACGAACCTTAGCATCACAATCATCATCAGCCTGACTATGTCCAGTGTTGCTCTCATAGTTGATTGTTTTAAATAGTATTGCAGTATTCTTATGCATGTTGCTATACACAATGATCACTGAATTTTCCGTCTTTACCCTAGACAACCAATAATAGCTCATCCTTCACCTCGGTTCTAAATTTTTTCCTTATCTGGATGATGCCTTGCGGGACACACTAGGGCATGTCTCGCAATATGTCATTGCAGTTATTTCAATTATTCAGTCCTGGTAAATCCCCTGCAGTGAGTAAGAGCCGAGATTCACGGCTTAAGCAAGCAAGCGAAAGTCTCTACCATTTTTCTTCAATTAATCTAGTCCAGTGCTCACTGCAGTCATGCTGCCTTCGCAAACTTCATCATCTCATCTGGATGGATGGATGGATGGATGGATGGATATGGCTGTAACCTTTAGATCGGGCAGTGGCTAGCGCCACCAAGCCGTAATACCTAATGAACCAAAAACTACATTTATTTTTTTTCCTTAAAAAGTGAGTTTGAGGATTCGTACTTTGCAGTGAAGAGTTTAATTTTCACTCGTGCCTTGACTTTAGCCACCAATCAGATAACCTCCTTCTGGTTAAGTCTACCTGCTTAAAGTTTATTTGCCCTTCCGGTCCCTAAACCCCAGTACTTTGAAAAACTCTGCGCCATCATCCTGAACTATAGGGTGAAACCCTTTACAGAACATTATCAAGTGTGCCCACGCAACATTCTGTCTCCCCCTGGTGCATCTGCCTCCTCTTGAAATTGTCTGTTACTCTTAATAACCGGTCGTCATTTAGCATTCGTAATTTTCAACAGGTTAGCAACAAAGCCACAAACATCGATACTTGCCACATTGACACTTAAGTCAAAGCTTTCCTCCAGGAGTTTCGTCATGTCAGAAGGCTAGCTACGGCCATCATGATAGCTATGGAGGCTGAGGTGTCGCGCTAGCTAATCTTGAGATCGGGGGCTTGATCCCAAGCCATGGTGACCGCATTTCATTGCAGGCGAAATGCAATAAAACCCCTGTCCTTAGGTGCAGGTGGCCATTAAAGAATTGCAGGCTGTCATAATTATTCTAGCGTCCATCAACACTGAGTGCCTCGTAATCTGCCGTGATTTTGGCACGTCAAAAAAAGCAACTATGAATTTCTAGACGGCTAACTGAAACTAAATTTCACTTTACTTAAAGGCATCACCCCATAGTAGTATAAACCATCAAAGCAATTTCGATAAGGATACAAGGTTGGTAAATGCATAGTTTTGCTGGTTAGAGGCCCTCAACAAGCATCTAAGTACACAACACACACAAGCGGTGGTTGGCGCTGTGACGTACGAGTTTGGGCGACCATTCAGCACCTCCAAACATTCAATCGAGTATTACAGTTAATTAGAATTCACTTCAGCACAGGTTTCAATATTCGAAGCATTCGAAATGAACACACATAGCAGCATGTCCAACCCCCTGGAAGGTGGTTTCACGGCGGCTTAGCCGATGCTACTACGAAGCCACCACAGCGCCATTCACACAGTCATGAAGCCAGACATCAAGGCAAAGTTTGCGTATTGCTTGTACTTTCATAAAACAGAAAAACAGAGTTACACAAGCAACCTATGGTACCTTCTGAAATGTACTGAAGTTTACAGTGTAAACACCCCACTTCTAATCGGAAGAGTGGTTAATTTAAAGATCTCTGCATATACCTAATTCAAATAAATGGTCGTACGGCACACAGTTTCATTTCATTTCATTTTATCATACCCCTAAGGGCCACAGGCATTATAGAGAGGGAGTGGTAACAACAATTTTACACAAGGAAAAAAAGAAACAAAAAGTATAATAAAACAAAGAAAAGTAAAATAAAATGCACATGAAACAAGCGAGCAACATGTGAACTTACAGCGAGTTTAGAAAAAGCCTGGGTATATAATGTTAGCTATCGAATTGGGGAACTGTTCGTGACTAGTAATGTTCAGAACATTTGCGGGAAAGCCATTCCAATCACGAGAAATTTGTGGTAGAAATGAATTATGAAAGTGCAGAGTATTACATGAAGCGAGTCCGAATTTACGACGATGGTATGTGGAATGGTTTACATAAGATTGACTCAGGGATGAGGGGTTCGTGTAGTGCAGGATGACAAGGCAATACGGGACCTTTCTGCATGGCAACAATTATGGGAGAGAAAGGTCCGTTTTCATGGACGTTAAACTGACTGGCGCTGCGGCTGTAATTAGAGTGAATGAAATATGCAGAGTCATTCTGAACCGTTTCTAGAGTAGAGCAAAAATAAGCTTGCTTGGGTGGGATCCTAGACCGGTGTAGCATATTCCAATCTTAGTTATTCATACAAATAACAAAAGCTTGAAAGTATTCTTAGTTGGTAGATGTAATGGGAAGTAAAGGACCGGGGCTTTGAAAATTTGTGAACATCAAACCTGCATCAGGCTTTTACGCAAGTCCCTCTATGGAAACTGTTTCCTTTGAAATTATTTGATACTGATTACACCATGCCTAGGCTCTGTTTAAAACCATACGATTCACATTTGCACAAGCCTAATGACCAGGTCCACTTTCACAATATTTTTCAGCACTCAATTATCTCACAGGCCATGCCAAGGAGCCTCTCATTGTAGGTCATGCCATAGTCATGCATTACTTTAAGCAAGTTGTTATGGCAAGATTTTTTAAAATATTCAATGTTGCAGTTTGTTGTTTTTTTTATGTATTTCCAACTCACACACGACCTCACATTTGCTTCAGTTGGCTATCAAGCAATCACTCTCTATTTGACCATCCTGGTGTGACCAACCAGCATTACATGTCAAGACAGCTTAGAGTTACACGACTAGCACCTTGCAGGTAATCTGAAGCTGACTTCCCACAGTGCTTCAAGAACAATTGAGCCTCGTGATATCAATCCTTCATATGCATAGATAATATGAGTATTTTATAGAATAGTGTACAAGTAAGGAACTAAAAAGTATATTATAACCTGTCGTTATGCCCTTTAATGAGATAAGCAAAGGCACCATGAACAAAAAATTTCTGCAGCACTTAATAAGCACTCTAGAAACTGGAGCTTTATCAAATGGCTCTCCCTGGCAAAAGAAATAACTATGTATTCAGTACTCATGGACTAAAATGTGAAAATTTAGGGATAAGTGATACTTCCGTTTTCAGCCTATGCAGTTCATGCCATATCAGCACACTTTTGACTTGCAGTCATTCCAACAGCCATATTTGCAAACCTCGTGTTACTGCAACGTGCAACTAACTACCATGAGCTAGGTTCTGGAGGAACCATCAATAAGCATGCCATTTATGGGTGAATGGCCGGTTAAGATATTGAAGGAACCGTTACCCCTGCAACCGTGTATGACATGGTGCTCACAAATTCCAAATTAACCTTCCGATGGCTCCTAAAGTAGGCTCTGGTGTTTAAGTACATCCGCACAGAAACACAAGTAAAAACTGGTGTCTTACCCTTGAAGCCTTTGGTAATAAAGTGGACGGCCCACTCAGTCCTTTTGGACTCGTCCAGTCGTAGCAGAACGTTGAGATTCTGCTGAGGCTGAATACCGGATGCAATTATTTCGGCTATTGCTCGCACCTAAGGAAAGCCAGAAACCAGGACGCATTAGATGTGTTAGTAATAAAGAGAACAGATACATATCTTGAAAGATATGTTCCTGACAAATATTAATAGTGAAAAGTGACATAATTCATGTGCGCCCCTTTCGAGTTTAACTTTTAAACAAAGGAGGAAAGAAAAAGAAGCAACCGAAAAGGTATTATAATCAATTCATTATGGCTAAGTTTTTTTGTGCTTGGTATTTTGAAGTGTGATCAACATACATCGTCACGACGACAGCCCCAAACAACGAAAAATACGTCGCACACCTGTGACTTCAGCAGATCACTGAAAACTGCAATCTGCATACAGTAAAAAAAAACATACACAAGCACATTTGCACCTTAGAGAAATTAAATTACTGCCAATTAACTGAACGTATTATTAGAGTTGGAACTATTCACTGGTAAACAGCTACCACTTAAATCGGTCCAGGACGCACGTCTTTAATGTATTATCTGCCAACTTTTGCTTATGCGGTATTCTCGAGCATGTACTGAATTGTCCTATCAATTCAATCGAATCAGCAAGATCTCATGCAAAAGCTGCATATTTCATGGTGAGCTCAATCTAGCACGCTTGCAGGCGTTACTTGCTGTTTCCATATAATAAGTAATGTCGCTGTATGGTTGGGATGCTTTTGAAGGAACCGACAACCAGCTTTCGGGTCACCTGTTTTTCTCAGTGCAACGGAAAGCTCCCCAGCCAGAGTCCAATCATGGAGCAGTAATGTACAAACTGCTGCGAAACATTTTTAATCAGTACTTTTCTATCTGCAGCGACCACAAACTATTACATACGACACATTCTGCTAACGGTGCTATCTCGCATGACTGCACTTGGTGTTCGTGCCCGTTCAGTGCACACTGCGTGCATACGCTGCTGATCGCCATGGTCCCACTATTTTCATAACCAGGTGTCCCGTCCTTTTGAAGAAGTGTCGAATTACAAGAGAAGGAACAACAGGCACCATATCTTACAGCTATGGTGAAAAAGTGCCTTTCGTTACGTCAGCTTGGCTGTGACTTAAAGAGTTTCCCAGTGCTCGAACAGTAGGCAGCAAGGATAATAAAGGTAATTCACTCACATTATCACTGCTTAATTAATCAAATGCAGTACCAACACAAGCAACAATACTAGAAACAAGTTCTAAATCTAAAGTACAAAACGTAATAGCAAAACCTCGAAATCGTGAAAAAAAAAATTGAGCCCTTCCACATTGAAGACAACACAAGCAGTTTAGAATAGAAAAAAATAGAAAAAAGGAAGGGAAGAAAGTATGAGGTAACACATTGCTATCAGAGTGCACAGATCAAATGTTGTGCAGATACCTTAGCCCGTTGTGCTGGGTCTCTGGGTAGCAGTCTTGGCTCGGGGAACTTCTCCTCGAGGTACTCAATGATGGCCAGCTACCGCACAGAACAGAGAGAATGGATAATGCATAAGCTACATGCAACAGACATGTTACTAATTAGTTTGATAGCACACAAATGCTATAACACAATCACAATTACTTTGATGCAAGAAATATGAGCCTTCAGCGATAACACAAACAACACTTGCTTTATTAGTCGGTAGTACTTTTCTGCAAGTATGCCGTAACGACAGGCTTGCAAGCTTCCAGTGAACAACACTTTCTAATAATAATAATAATAATAATAATAATATGTGGGGTGTTACGTGCCAAATGTATGACACGATTATGGGTGAGCCGTAGTGGTGGCTTTGGAAAATTTCGACCATCTGGGGTTTTCAAAAGTGTACAGACATCGCACAGTAGAGGGGCCTCCAGCATTTCGACTCTATGGAAATGCAACTGCTGGGGCCACGATTGAAGCTGCGTACTTGGGGTCTGCAGCCAAGCACTGTCATCACTACAGGACTGCAGCAAATAAAACCAACTTATGAAACAAAAAAGCCCCATATTCTCAGATTGTGCAAGCTCAAACCACAATATGATAATAAGGCATGCTGTCATCGAGAAATCAGATTACTTCTGATCATCTAGGCATTTCTTATGTGCACATGAATGTAAGTACACGAGCATTTTTGCATTCTGCCATACTTCATAATTCAGGCTGCCATGGCTGAGAACACGGTGTAAGAAAAGTAATTTAGGTCTGTACAATCTGCCTGATAGCGCATCCAGATAATGTTCGCTTCTTTCCTTCTCTTGGTCCCCATGTTGCAGCACCCCCTACGCAACCGTGGCCGGCGCATGTATGAGAAGACGAGCTGCGTGCGTAGCATACGTAACGGCGTTGCGCATGTGACAACTCAGCGTTAGAAGTATAATGTCTTCTTTTTTTTTCTTACACCATGCAGCCGATAGCAGCGTTCGCCGCACTTGGTGTTTTTCGATCGCGACAAACGCGGTATGTGTTTCCAGCCCAAGTACCTAGCGTGCACAATTTAAAAAATACTATGAGGTGAAAAAAAAAAAAAATCCACATTCGTCTCATCGCGCTAGCTTTCTCAAGCCTCCATGTCGTAGCACCCTTCACGAAACTGCGGCTGGCACCTGTACTAAAGCGAACATTATTTATTTCGATTACCCTCAGGGCACATAAAGACGTTATTGAGGGGGTGGGTAATACAACAAAAATGCAGTAAAAATAGAACATAAAAATACAAGTCAGTGGGAATACATGTTTACCAACAAAAAGTTATTTAGGGCGCATAACATAATCTGTCAGTGCAGTTTTGAATGATGGTGCGTCTTCAATGAAGGAGATGGAGGAGGGAAGATGGTTCCACTTGGCACTGGTTTTTGGCAGAAAAGAGTCGGAAAAAACATTAGTGCGACAGAGAGGAGTGAAAACTTTACGCTCATGATCAAGACGTGACGATATGTACGACGGTTGTGATATGAGCTCCTGTTTAATTGAATTGTTCAAGTCAAAAACTTTTTGCAAAAGGCATTGATGAGAAATTTTTCTTCTAAGCTGCAAGTCAAGTAGTCCGAGATCTGATTTCATTAATGAAACGCTAGCTGTGCGGGAATAGTTTGACATAATAAAACGTGCCGATTGATTTTGAATGGACTCAATAATGGTTTTTAATGTTTTTAGACCGAGGTCCCAAACAGAAGACACATACTCGAGTTCAGGTCTAATGAGTGTTTTGTAAAGTAGCAATTTTAAATGGCATGGGGCATTAGAAAAATTTTTGCGAATGTACCTGAGTGATTTATTGGCATTGTTAATGATGTATTGAATGTGTGTGCCAAGAAAGGTTATTCTTTATGTGAATCCAAGATACTTATACGAGGTTACGTATTCAAGGTTGATGTTATTAATAGCATAGCTGAGAGGAATGGATGCATCATAGCGACGTGAAACAGTCATAATCGTGCCTTTCGTGGGTTTTAATTTCATTAGCCATTGTGAGCACCACTTTGACATGTTATCTAGATCGAACTGAAGAATGAGGTTATCATGCAGACTAGTCATTTCACGGTATATGACACAATCGCCACCAAAAAGTTTAATGGAACTATTAATAACGGTAGGTAAGTCATTAATATATATTAGAAATAGCAAGGGACCCAAAACAGAGCCTTGAGGAACGCCAGACTTTATGTCACAGTAGGAGGGTACAGCATCATTAGCAGTTGTTAATTGAGTACGGTTAGTTAGAAAACATTCTGTCCACTTCAAGATGTTAGGGTCAATATTAAGAGTACTGAGTTTAAGAAGTAGTAAGCGGTGAAACACCTTGTCAAAAGCCTTAGCGAAGCCTAAAAAACATAGTCAATAACCTGTCCTTTATCTAAGGAGGATGAAATATTATGCATAAACAATACAAGTTGTCTTTCACAGAAATAGTTCCTGCAAAACCCATGCTGAAATGAAGTGAGAAATGCGATAACTGACGCGCTCTCCGTCGCGGCAGGTGGAGAGTGTCCCCACCTAAAATATTTTTCTTACACCCCGGCTGAGAATTATATGTATACCCTCATGCTAAAGGGTAAAATTATAGCTCTTAAGTTTCCACTGGATGTCTCCAGTTTCTGAACATTGATTGATTTTTTTATGGAGCAGAACATCCCGATGCTACTCTGATGATATGAGATATGGCACACCGGAAAGCTGCAGATCAGCCAGATTAACATCCGTTACCTGAAGTTCTGTAATGCTCACCTATAACTAAAAAAACTTGAGTGTTTCTGCATTTGGCCTCGCTTCATAGGTTGCCTTCAGCACTGAAAATACAACCCACAACCTAATACTGAAAAGTGGAATGTGATAGCCACAGAACCACTGTGACGAGTACCAAATGAAGGGAATGATGGGGGCTTGTTTCTTTGCTTAACACAACCCTAATAACAACCAGCATATAGCTAATCCAAAAGAAGTACAGGGGATGTTAATTGTATTGCTCTAAGTGTATTGTACCTGTGATATAAATGTGAAGAAAGTAAGGTGCAAGAGCAGACAACTTGCCACTGGCAAGGAGCCCACCTGCAACCTTTGATTAACACATCTGATGCTCCTATACTAATTGAGCTAGGTGGTGGTTGCTCCCTCATCTACTCATCGGGTATTTATGTACATGCAAACCTGGGAGCATTAGTCAAGGCCGCTCACAGTTATGACGGTGAAAGGGGGAACACTCTTTGCCAGAGGCATTACGTAGCACATGAACTTTTAATGAGTGCACAGCTGACCAATAAGTCCTCGCATACTACTTGGAAGCATAAATTCTGCCGGAACAAGATCTTCGTGATGAATGAAGGAAGAAAGGGAAATTTGAGGGTATGTTTTTTTTTTTGTTTGTTTGACGCAACTTCAATAAAAAGTAGCAGATAATGAAGCCAAGAAAATTGCTGGGGACGTTAATTGCACTTTTTGAAGTGAATTGTAGTAATTGTTAAACAGACGTGAAGAAAGTGAAGTGGGTGAATAGAAAATCTGCTGCTGGCAGGGAATGAACTTACTACCTTTGAAGCACTACTGATATCTGAACATGAAGCCAATGGGAGGACAGCCTAAGAGCATGAGAAAGTGTACTTACAGACTGCGTGAATGTCTCGCCATTGTGAACCAGGGCTGGCACTTGCTCCATGGGGTTCACCTTCATATATTCTGCAGAGTGCTAGAAAATGGAAATGGTTAGGTTAGGGAAAATGAAGTTCAAGAGAGTTGTTTGTTGGGCAAGTTGGTGCATGGTTACACTAGAACAAAGCCACCAAAACACAGAAATACATTGCAAGCTGTGCGGTTGCACATTCACATTTGTGAATGTATCAACTGTGAGTAAGGCTAGGACACAGCATGAAAGATAACTGATATAGGCATACAACCTTCGAAAACTTACTGCTGAAAAATGTTTAAAGGCGCATTCACAATGAGCGCAGATCCGGAAAGAAAACACCGATTATCTTTGAAAGCAGGAAACCTGCGGGGCTTTGGCTGAATCATGCCCTGATGAATTTTCTCTCCACAGTAAAGTTGGCCGCTTTGGCCACAGCCAATCAGAGCGTGAAACAGGCATGTTCAGTATCGCAAAGTAGTGCAGTATTCCGTAGAACTGCAAGATGGCAACATGTCCACCATGGATAGATGGATCACAGCGAAGCGGGCAGTGTGGTCAGTCGGCATTTAATTACATGACAAGTGGTGAAGGTTTGTGCAGCAGCACAGCCCACAAGGTGTGCGCGTGGCTGTCACAATATTGGGTTCTAGCCATTTCATTCTCCAAAAGAGTGTACTGCATAGGCAGAATTAGTGAAGACCTTATCAGCGAATACCTCTGGAAAGCATGAAGGGGAGACTTGTGCGAAAAGAGGACCAGCCGATTCGGCAAGTGCACGTCACCATTAGAAAAAATTTCCAAGAAAACTTTTAAATTCACAAACAGTTTCCGCTTATCTTTCTTTCATTTTCTTTTTCCTGCAGTAGCAGCGACAATATCTGCACTTCTGGTATCCGTGCATATATATGCTGTTGAACATTGCCATGATAAGCAATCAGTCAAACATTACTTCGTACACCGGGGCTTGAGAATAAAACCACCTGCAGATCTTTGTGCGCATCGAAGTCGCATTGCAGTGCTCGAGGGTCAAGCACCGATATAATGCAACACACTCTCACCTGCTCGCCGCCATCCTTGATAAGGTTGACGGCTTTGTACTCGTAGTCAACGTTTTTCCATGCCAGGGCTGAAAATTAAGTGGTGTTCAACATATGGGTAACATGATGTCGTGCTTAATTGATCAGCATGCATGCATAAGATGTCACTGCACTGAACGAAAATTTTACTATGGCAGATTGCTGGTTAATAAGAGCATAAGCTGCACGTACCGATGCGAACTCTGTAGGCACATGAGCTCCTGAAATAGGAGTAGAGGACCGGCTGGAAAGAAAACGATCGACAATCACGCACCGATAAGACCGCTCCTAACGTTCTGGCTTTACGCTAAGAATAAAACTCGCTACGCCGCTAATGAAGGATGTCATATTTCACAAAAGGAAGGAATTGAGAGGCAGACCTTTGAAGTCATCGCTGTATCAAGCCGAGCGCGCAACAACTTCACGACCGCCTTTTCCGCTTGTTATGGCACCGCGACGTGGACCGGCTTTGGAGAAGAGAAAGCGCGGGACGCGAGCGGCGCTAATCAAGAGGAGAAAACTGATCTGTCCTCGGGCCTCTTTCACAGCTACTGCCAAGAAAAGCAGTCTGACGGCTCTCCCTTCCCCTTCCAAGCTGATTCTACGCATCAGAGTAGAGATATGATGCTCCGCGTGCCTCGCCGCCTTCCTCATGGGCCCAGGGGATTTTGGGTCTGGTATATATGGACGATCGCCCACGAAAATGCGATAACTGAGCTTATCGCACTCTAGTTTAGCCCACGACGAACTTATTTGACTAGTCGACAAACTGACTTCAGATGTTGACATCAGAACTCGTGCTCGAATAAGAATAGGTAAAGAATAGACGCACCTTCAGTGCAGCCATCCTGCTTGATACTGAAGCCCTTAAACTTGGGAACTGCCTTTCAGGTACTCGCAGCTTATCTGCATCCGCAGTATCTCGCGGTCCGAAAACAGCTGTTCGTTTTCCCGCACCGGAAAAGAACAGCGGGAATCGCAACTTCTGTTGTTCGGCGAGAGATGGCGGCACCATCAATTCTTAAAGTAAAGATGGCTGCGCCCGCGAACCTAAACCGACGCGTTTCCGCACTCGCCACAAGCGCACGTGAAACCGGTCTGCGGGTGCCTCCGCTGCTGAACTCATGATTTTTACTTCTCGCCGCCGCTTCGTCTTTCCCGGTGCGTGTGGACGACGCGTTGTCGCCGTTGCGAAGCGCAAGCTGTCATGACCTGAAGTCCGCATAGGCACGGCATGCCCACGTAGGATCACTACTATGACGGCCAAAACGGCTAAGAAAAAGGCTGACGCCTCGTCCACGGAGTCCGGCGACCGTCGAAAGTCTGCGGCGGGCTACTTCGACGAACTTGCACGCAATCACCTCAGAACTGTCTTCCTCGTGATCGTGTTGCTGTCTCTGGGCACGCGCCTTTACAAGATCACCGAACCCGACCATGTCTGGTGAGAACTAGCCCGTGGCTTCGCATGGAGCGATCGAACATTTTGACTCGTGCGCGACATGCAGTGTAATTCGTTTGCTGAGGAATGTTCTTTCGACAAAACCTTGAGCTTACTTTAGCACCATGTCGGCCAGAGAAACCATGCAACACGTGTGGAGCTGTCACTTGCATTAGGTTTGAGCTATTGCAGCGTTGGTTTCCATTCGAACATATTGAAAATGCCAGCACTGCAGTATAGCTGACATTTGAACAGACAAACCTGAAATTCCTTTGGCGGTGTATGGTCAGAGACAGGAAATGTATTTTCTCGCAGCGAATGTCAGTTGTATGTGCAGATTTCACTGGGCTTCATGCAGTCTTGTGTGCGCAATTAGTAATGATGTTTTGTCAAAACCTACTAAATGAATTATATTGGATACTGCGTACTGTAATGTGACATGCACACACCAATATGCAGTGCTTGTGAAGAATGAGAGTCAGCGTGACCAAGAAGAGTAATTAATTTCTTTCCTCTCATTGCAGTTGGGATGAAACCCACTTTGGCAAGATGGGCAGCTGGTACATCAATCGCACATTCTTCTTTGACGTTCACCCTCCCTTGGGCAAGGTGCGACCTCATTTTAATCATAACATTAGGAAGGAATACCAGGTTACTGGAAAATTCACGGAAGCAGCCGCGTTGTAGTGCTACCAGTCAGCTTAAATGTGGTGTAGAAGTTAACTGGAGAGGAACCAACTTAGTTTATTGCATGGATTACCTAAGTTACGCTTTGCAGATTGCATGATTTTGGTGCAAATAATTATTAGCACACCGTCTTTTTTTTCTTTCTCTCTAATGACGACATAGTTGAAACATAGAAGCTTTCGTAACTAATAATAGTTTAGACTTTTGCTATCACTAGACTAGACACCACTTCTAGCCACTATAGTGGCTTCTGCTGCTCCGCCTGTGTACGTCTTGCAGTGTAATGTATAAGTGGCTAACCTAAAGCTTTTCATAGGATATTTGCATGAAAATAGCCACCTGCAATCAGGTGATCTTGGTTTTTAGCCTCCGAAAATCAGAGGTGTACTAAATATAGTGGCCTTGCTATTTATTGTGTTCCTTCACTAAAATATTACTTGCGAATGAAAAGGACAACAGTGATATATTTATTGTTGTCGGGTTCAGGCTCTGTGTGCATACATTTTTCACGGTGCAAATTCCTGCAAGCTCACTCAACTTTGCATATTTTTGAAATGTAGGAATGGAGACCAAAGGTTAATGTGTTTTGTGGGGGATCGTCTAGCGTTTAAACTCTTGCTGTTCACACTCTGACAGGTTCTCCATATCAACAATGGTAACCACACTTTCTGTGAAGGCCAAAGATCAAGCCAACAACTGGAGCACGTCAAAATGAGCAGTTATTGGAAGCGTGATCTTAAAAACCCAGCCCATGTGCCTGTTGCAACTGAAACAGTTGTGCCAGCTCTCAGGAATGAGATCTTTTATGATGGGAAGGGTACACGTGATGTCAGAACAACGTGAAAGAGTGAGCTCAGACTTCGTAGTCATGGAAGTGGAAAAATGCTGATGTGCCTAGGTTTAGGTTAAACAAATTTGGAGCCCACCACTATGGCTGCCTATAATCATGTCTTGGTTTCGGCATGTTGTGCCCAAGAATTTTTGCAAAATGGCTTTATACCTGCATAGCCATGTTTTTCGTGCGTGCCAGTCTGTTTAAGGCTAATGGTGTTTTGTGGACTTTTCGGCATTTCTAGATGCTCATTGCACTTGCCGGCAAGCTGACTGGGTACAATGGAACGTTTCCTTTTGGGAAGCCGGGAGATAAGTACGAGGACCACAACTATGCGGGAATGCGCATTGTAAGTACCTCTTGCTCGTTTTAATAATTGAATTGTCCCAGCAGTGGGTCTACTTTGCAATTGCATTGCAGCTAGAAGTAAAAGTCTGTCTGAACATTTCTATAACCAATTGCTTTTGAAATGGTTTTTCTGATGTATTTGTATTGCATAGTTTACAGTGCTAGTTCATTGCAGACTACCATTCAGCTGTTTTGTGCATCATCGTCCCATTTGTTAGGTATCTTAAAAGCATACCTTCTTCTGCAGACTATCCCGGCCGGGGCGATTGCATTTTCTATGGAAGCGAAAATGCTGTAGGCTCGTGTGCTCATATTTCAGTTCACGTTAAAGAACACCAGGTGGTCCAAATTTCTGGAGCACTCCACTACGATGTCTCTCATAATCATATGGTGGTTTTGGGACGTTGACCCCCAATAATAATATTACCAAAATTCTTCTGCAGGTTCCCCTGATTATATTTCGTGTACTCAACTGGGTATAGTGTACCCTGAACCTATCATACTTTTGACTGTAAGGCCATAAAATGAAAATGCAGTGAAAACTTCTTGACTGGTGCTGTACAGTAAGCTTGCAGTAATGACAGTTATTGGATTTAGTTGGGTTTTGATGTAACGAACTTACACATAAATTGTTCTTTTGCTGCACTATACTGAAACACCGGGGGAAAACGAAAATACGGGACACCCATGTGTTTTGACACTTGTGTGTTTCGTGCTGGCGTGTAGTGTAGTCCTGGAGTGTAGCGCAGCAATAGAACGATGCCATACCAACCAGCCTTCACTGAAGCCTTATTAACAAAGAACAGTAGCAGTTTCGATCACGAATGCTATGCGCGTGTTGTTTACCAGTTTTTGAGGCATGATATCGTGATAAGCGTTTGCTGCTTCTGGATTCTTTCACGCCAGTTCTGTGCCTTGCTGGGGAGCATGGTTCCACCCTTCTGTTTTGTGATTGTGTGGGAGCTCTCGCATTCCCTGCCTGCTGCCGTCCTAGCCTCGTCGTTGGTCATCTTCGGTGAGCAGTTCTGGGAGTCTTGTTCATTTGTATGCCAACGTAATCTCTTAGATGATATGTGATTGCTCTATCTCTGCTCACTGTCTGCATTCAGCCCGAGTTCTAGCATTAGTGCGTGGTCGAATGACACAGTGTATCGTGACGCATTCTGAGTCCCTCTTGCACATAGGCTCATTTGTGTATTTGAAGAGTTTCTTTTCAGAATGATTATCGAGGAAACCGCACAAAAAACGGCGATGAAGGGAGATAAGAACAGCACGAACGCATTCTAACAAATGAAACTTTAATTGAAAACGGGAAGAGCATGAAGGAAGCAAGTTGTCTCAATCGTTCGTAAAAGCTTATGTTTTTCTTGTCTTCCCTGGCCCATGTTTTTCGCACAGTTTTCTTGATAACAGAATACTAACTCATGCAACAGTCAATATTTCAAGTTTTGGAATGAGCCAGAGTAAGAAACTGGAACAAGGCTAAATTAGATGCACCATGGAGCACACCTAGGTTTCTTTCATGTTCAAAATAATTCTGTCCGAAGGTGGTCAACTGATGATTCAAATGCCTATGCAGCAGTTTATTTTTGAGTAAAACATGAGCCATATCTTGGAACTTAAATGGGTTTTTCCGGGTAGGTAGTCTGCGCATGTCTGCCTGCCTTGAGGAGGCACGCGCTGAGATTTTTGGCGGCCAAAACGTGACGACACGTGCAAACCAAGCATCATATGGTGCCACGAACAGGCAAATGTATGCCCCCCCAAAGAGGCGTGAATGCAGGCCTCCGAGATTGCCCACCGGCATGCGGCGGGCGATTTTGGAGTCCAAGAGCCACCAGTTTTGATTTCGGCGATCTGCACTTGGGGTGCCGTTCGGATTAGGAAAATGCTCATTGAAGTGAGTTATACGGGCTTTTAACCAATGGGCATGCTCCTTGAGCACCTTGGGACCGAAAAATCTAGCATAGGTGCCTTCCTGTGCTCCCGGCGCGGACTAATGCAGGCTTTTTTTTTTTTTTTACTAGAGCTGCCTAACTTTCAGTGAAGTCCAAATGTGGCTGCCGTTGCTCCGTCTCTTAGTTACGTGCTCGGTGCACAGTGCAAGACCTTGCCTTAAATGTTGGTTGTCTCTTTTTTTTTTTGCATTTGTAGATGTCGGGCTGGTGACGCTGTCTCAGTACATTCTCCTGGACCCCATCCTCATGTTTTTCATCGTCGGCGCCTTCATGAGCATCGTTGTGTTCAAGGCACAGTCAAACAGGTGTGTGGCTTCCTATCATTGCAGTTTTATTACGTCGACTTTAGTTTCCGTCACCCATCAAGTTTTGTACAGGCATAACCGTTTTTACTTAAAGTACTTGGGCCAGCAAAGTTAGTTTAGATTAGGTACGTTTCATTGTCATGGAGAGCTATCACATCGGTGAGAAACTTCAGATCACTTGAAAGTGTTCGCCCAAACAGCTGCTTACTTTCTGAGATGAATGTGTACTTAGTTCGTTCATGTTTTGACAGGATTATATCCTTAATTGGGCAACTGGCTGATACTATTGGCTTTTTTATTTAACAATGTGCTAATGCATGCTTTACAAAGTGTATAAAGAATAAGCATGATTAATTAAAGTTAAGTGTTTGAGCCAGTAGCCATCTGTGTCCATCTGTTTGTTGTGTCGAAAAAAGGAAACAGACTAGCAATTTGCTGCGAACAGCTGATCGGACGAATGTGGCTCACTTAAATGGAAAATGTACTTTCATTCTGAGATGTTCACACGCATATCGCAGTAAAGCTGTGTAATGCAGGGTAGGAGGTTTCCAAAATATTTTATTGAGACCTTTTCCCCCACTCTTTTGTGTTTAACAAGCAAGAAATTAAGAGTTCTTGATTGTTATATTAATGCACCAATCCACTGCACATGCTAGACTGCTGACTTGAAGCAAATTTACATGTATCTACAGCACTGCACAATACCCTGCCTAAGCTTAACTTTTCTAAACTTAAAAAATTTTCAAATAGTTTGAAAACAAAATTGATAGTCGGTAACTGCTCGACATCTATAGTAATCATGCCAGCGGTGCTGGTGGTTCTTAGCCAACATGACTAAATAGATGTGCCATTTCAGGCTGTCAAAAACTTTTGTAAATACGAACTTTGGGATAAAATTTTGAAATGAGCAAAACAGTTGTGAAAATTGCCTGATTTGGGAAGGTGTTTGACTCCTGCGATGATTCATTTTTTTGACAATTTCTCATCATTTTGTTCTGAGAAAGCTAGTTTAGATCATTCTCGTTGTCTTTCCAGGCCATTTACTAAAATGTGGTGGACTTGGCTAGTGGTGTCTGGTGTTTTCCTGTCTTGTGCAATAAGGTAGGTGCATTGCTTTTTAATAATTTTTTTTCTTGTTGCTGCGCTTCAAGTCAGATCAAATTATCAGTGTCTGATGCAACTGTCATGCGCTTGCTTTTCATGGCCATTTCGTTTAAAAGGCCTTTCAACAGGTAGTCCGCTCTCTCAAGGGCCAAGTTTGAACTGCTGCACGGGTGCTTTTGAAGCGTGTTCAGTCAATAGTCTATCGATTCAATGGAGCACCTCGCAAGTCTATCAAAGCCCCAGTAGCCGTTGAGTGACGGAAGGGGAAATGGCATGAACTTGACTTCTTGTTCGCAGTGCTAATACTCATGATTAGGTAAAAAAAAGTTAAACCACTGATCTCTAAAATTTGTATACATGAGTGTTATTAATAATGAGTGTTATTTTGCCACTTCAAATGTGGGACCTGCACATGGTCTTGACGATGGCAACATGTCTGTGTTGTGGAAAGTGTGCGACAGCCACAGTGAGCGGCACAAGTTAAAAACTTAATATATATGTATAACAACATATGAGCAACTGCTTAAAATGTGCGAGCAAATAACAGGCATAATAATGATTTTAAATGAATTTATATTTATAATTTTCTGACATGAAACTGAATATGAAGATCGGCAGCCCCTCACAACTTTTGCAAGAAATGCCGGAACCACTCAACAATCATTCAAAACAGCCATACAGCATTGCCAAAGCTCTGTTGTGTTGATAGAGTAGCGGTGTTTGAAAGAACATAAGATTGAATGGCCTGTCATGGGTGCCTATTTGATATGTGCATCTGTAATCGAGTTCTTTCATATTGCTTTTTTTAGAGCTTGTGGAACAAAACCTTAGCTAATTGACGGCAGTGGGTTGGTGAAATTAGTAAACGTGATAAACCCTTCTATGCGAGTAAAAGGTCAAGAAATTAATGCAAATCTTGAAGCATGGTGGATAGAAGTAAAAAGTCGTGTGCGTTTTGCTAAAAAGAATTTCTCTTGATTCTCACGACTGTCTTTTTTTCCCGACCAGTGTGAAGTTTGTTGGCCTCTTCGTCATTCTTCTCGTTGGTTTCTACACAGCCTACGACTTATGGGAGCTTCTCGGAGATTTAGAAAAGCCTCTGGTAAACATTTCTTTTTTTTCATCCCAGTGATGCGAGATGTTTGTAGTGGAAAGTGGCACAACATTTGCCGTTACTTTGAGCCAGAAGTTTAAGCTCAGTTTCTTCCGGTTTACTTAAAAATGAGCTATACCTGTATAAAATTGTGCCGTTCTGTCACGGCTGTAGGTGATTTTGAGCATGAGCATATCAATAACGAATTCAACTCCTTGAAGCTTTAGTGGCGACAGTACGGTATTCTCAGCTCAACTTTCTTACGACAGCTCTCTGAGACATAACGTTTTTGTTGCATTTGAATATCTTAACACAGGCTGAATATCTGAGCATTGGCAATTATGTTGTGAAACGTTGCACTTCTTAAAAAAAAATGAGAAATATTTGACGATATGCTATCTGGTGGAGTAGTTAGTTAGGCTGAAGATATCAGCATAGCCTTTTCGGTAAAAGCACTTAATTCATTTGACATCTGTCATTTAATGCTGTGTGTGTGTCGTGATTTTAGTTTGCTCGATGACATTTTGGTGCTGTCGAAGCAGTTCATCACAAAAATCCTGAGCACATCACTATGGTGCCGTCTTTCGACATGTACCACAGATGACAGTTCAAATAAAAGTAACAAAGTTGCATACTTATTCCAAAATAATTGCACAATGTATGTTTTGCAATTGTGCTTTGAAATGTTTTCTCATCTATGTCATAGTCTTTCTGTGCATTACAGATTATGTTATGTTGTCAGTTAGAGTTACAAGCCTTTCTGTTCATGCAAAAAACCATGATTGGCTTTGTAGTATGCCTTATACATATCATTGACTGTTTTCACCTTTATCGCCTTTTTTTGTTGGTATCGACAGTATGTGTGGATAAATGAAGGAAGCATCACCTATGATTGTCGACTTTGTTTTGCGTTCTCCGCAAATGCACCTTTGGTTATTTCTCTTGTACACCTTGTTACAGTTAAGATAGCAACTGCGTTATTTCACTGCTCTCATAAAGTGCTTCCACTGTGTGCAGGTTCTGGTGGGAAAGCACTTTGTGAGCAGAGCCCTGTGCCTGATTCTGCTTCCCATGTGTCTGTACATGCTGTACTTCTATGTGCACCTGCATGTGCTGTACAAGAGGTAAGTGGGACTGTGCAAATTACATGTAGTACAGGTTAGTACAAGAAAGAAGCTACAAACACAGGGCGCCCCAGCTATCTTCAGCCAAAGTTTCAAAATAATTTAACGCATTTTATGATGGCTTGACCGAACGCATGTTGTTTACTACTGCGTGAAGTAAGTCACAGAATTCTTATGTTCTAATTAATTTCGCAAGCTTAATTAACACACTCTAAATAACCAGCTCTTAAAGCTCTTAAAGCAACAAAGCAGGGCAGAAATTTTTAATTAAAAATGTTACAGAGTGGTCTGAAAAATATTTTCTGATTATACAGTTTCTAGCTTTCTAGGTGTATGGTGTGTGTGTGTGTGTGTGTGGTGTGTGTGTGTGTGTGTGTGTGTGTGTGTGTGTGTGTGTGTGTGTGTGTGTGTGTGTGTGTGTGTGTGTGTGTGTGTGTGTGTGTGTGTGTGTGCGTGTGTGTGTGTGTGTGTGTGTATATATACACACACACACACACACACACACAATTTGGTGTGATGGAATACTGTAGCTCCTTGTAATTCACTGAAGAGTACTAGTGGCTGAGGGATCGGCTTCCCCTAGTTATCATGGTGGTCGGAATGCTGGTTACAGAACGTCGCTCTACTTCTCTAAGTACAGTAATTACAGCAATTACTCTAAGTACAGTAATTTAGATAACTTATTTATACTTACTTTTTTTAACTAAAGCTGTTCCTAAAGCCCTATTAGGATATTACACAGAGTGGGTGGGCTAAGTAAATGGATATAACTCAAGCCTTGATATAACGAGCATCAATGTAATGAAATATTGCTTATAACAAAGTCAATGAAAAATAGTCTTGCAATAGGTGCAATGTTAGGAATATACCTTTATAACGAATTTTCAGACGTAACCAACTTATTTCCATGTAAGTTGCAACTCCGTTATAATTAGCTGTGAGTGTAACCTCAGAAGAAACGAGGTGCCATAAAATGTAAAAATTCTTGTTCAAGAATATTTTATCTCCTCAAGCTCTTCTCTAGAACTTGCACAACGAAGAAATGTTTAGCACGTAAAAGCACAGCAGAAGCTTGCTGTACACTCTATTAACTTTGGAACCTTGACGGTGCAGTGGCAGCGGAGACGGCTTCTTCAGTTCCGAGTTCCAATCTAGGCTAAAAGGCAACTCTCTGTACAAAGCTAGCATGCCTAGAGGTAAGTGGTCCCCTTCAGCTGGTCATCATTTAGATGGGGAAGGAGAGCTTATGAACAGTGAATTCATGTCGTCTTACTTCAACAGTATTGTCGAAAACGGAAGAACGATGTAAAAACCCATTTAAAAACTGCTTTGATCCCTGTGGAAGCGTGCCTGTGCAAAGTTCACCAGAAAATTCGGCCTACTTGCGCAGTTTGAGAACCGAAAAAAAAAAATTGTTTAGAAAGCCTCGCCAAGAAATTGTTTTTTGGGGTGTACTGTTCTATTTAAAATAGCACTATGGCTCCGATTCATCTTTGATCATTTTGCTGCGTGTTCAGCAGATCTGAAAGTGCTTTGTTGACGTTATTTCTTTCATGTTCAACATGTTTAGCTTAATGGCTTTCGGTTTAGGTATGTCTGGTTCTAGAACTGAAATTGTTCGCAAGCTTTTGTAGAATATCGTGAACAAATTATCAGTGTTCACATGCTTTTTAACATTTTTCATGATTTTGTTATCACCTTTTTTGAGCTGGCAGCATAGTTTCATTCAATCGTTAGTAGACTAGTTCAGGTTGTCTGTGAAAAGCAAGCAGAGTATTAAAAATTTTTAATACACATTTCTGCGGTTCGCAGTGGTGCTACCTCACAGAGTTTTTAGCCACTGCAGTTTTCGGGCATGTCATTTTTTTTGTAACGTCACCTGTGCAACTGATCTGATTGGCTACTCAATGTTTGTACTAGGGAATAGACTGCAAATGGGCATACTATTTCATTTTAATTATTTTTTTATTGTACATTGCCTGTTTGACTACAAAAAGAAAAAAAGGTACGTTCGAGTCTTCCATCATTATTCTGGTGGTCCAGGTTCAATGGCGTCCTCTTCACGCACACTCCGTAGCTTAGTACGATGAACATCTCCGACTGCGGTAACACTAATAAAGACAAGCAAGCAAAGAAATGAAAAATGTGATGAAAAGAAAAAATAAACAGTAAGAATAGATGAATTCAAAATCAAGCTATATTTTGTAAAACACAACTGGGAGAGTAGGTGCTTAACAAAGTTTTTTTTTTGTTTGTTAGGCTTTACACGACATGCTTTTATTCACTGGCCATACACTACTATACATTCAAAAACAGCACGACCGCCATTCATTCGAAAACATAAGAAAAGTCCAACATTGTATTTGTTCAGTTGACACTTTAATCATACAGTTCTAGCAAACTATTCATGTATAAAATCATAGATGCCACTCGCACGTGCACCTCACTTTCAGAGGTGGCGTATGGTGCTCAGATCACACTGAAGAACCACCGCACGGGGGGCGCCTATCTCCACTCGCATTGGCACCTGTATCCAGAAGGGCTGGGAGCCAGGCAGCAGCAGGTGAGTTGTAGACGGGCACGAATGCGTAATTTAGATATCTTATTTATACCAATTTTTTTTAACTCAGGCTGTCCCTAAAGCCTTATGGGTAAAGGATATTACACAGTGGGTGGACCAAGTAAATGCGGATAACTCAAGCCTCAATATAACGAGCATGGATATAATGAAATATTAGTTAAAATGAAGTAAATGAACAATAGTCTTGCAATAGGTGCAGTGTTAGGAATATACCTTTATAACGAATCTTCGGATGTAACAAGCTTATCTTTGTGTAAGTTGCAACCTTGTTATAATGAGGTCTGACTGTAACCCAAGATTAACACGGCAGATCTTAAGATTTCATTAAGTAAGGATTTAAAGAAGGAACAGGTCCCAGAGGCAAGTTGCTCATTTAATGTGAAATATAATTTGGACATCATATAATTTAACATCAGTTTTTATGGTTATGTGTGGTGGTTGTTCATTACATTTTCTGATGATGCACGGTTTCAGTTACTGTGGCTGTTTTCTCTTGTTGGCTTCACATTGTGATAAATACTTATCTTGAAAAACAGACACAGCACTAAAAGATGAAAAATATGATCACTTGTCTTTTCATGTCAGTCGATTTTTACCTGTGTCACAGTCTTTCAAGTATCAGTTAGTTTTTATAAAGATAGGCCCATGTGAATGCTGGGATAAATATTACCAACAAATTCACTTCAAACATGAATATGAATTTTATTTAATCTTTAGGTATACAGAGAGGACAGACGTTTCTTTCTGCATGCAACATTCTTGCATAGGCGGTTTCACTGTAGCAAAGCCACAGTTTACACTTTAATCTAAATCTTAATCTCGACACCAGACAGGCAAGGAAGTATGCATAGTCAGCAGCCTCATTTGCCTCGTTAGGTGACGACCTACTCTCACAAGGACGACAACAACAACTGGATCATCAAGAAGTATGACCAGGAACCCAATCCTAAGAACAAAACGGTTGAGCTGGTTCGCAACGGCGACCTGATACGTCTTGAGCATGTGGTGTAAGTATAATTATTGCCATTTTTACTTCTTTTTATTATGGAGATGCCTTTATGATAATTTATTTTAATTTTATACTTAAGAGCCATTATTGAAAAGTTGTACAAATCACAAGAATGCTTTCGTGATATTGAAACATTGCTGTGAGCATTGTTTATTTACTGTAGATTCTAATTAACCATTAACTGACGTGTTAAGAGCGCACTGTTACAAAAGCCGGCGACGCCAACACGGTCCCAAAGGTGCCACTGCTTCAGACTCCGCCGGGAAGGTCACCAGCCGTTTGGTAGTGTAGGTTTCTCAGCTCGCGACTACTTCTGCGCAGAGCTGATAGTTGAGCGGACGAGACGATGGTGAGTTAAACAAGGTTTATGTACAGCATATATACTGAGGCGTTACCAATTCGGCACTGGCGCCGACAACTTAGAGACTCGGACAGCCGAGCTCTCTCCTCTTACACATAGGTCTACTGCTCGCGACGGACCGCAGGGCTTTTTTTATATGCACCGGGTAGATTCTTTGAGTAACCAAATGTCCAACCAGAAGCGCTGCTGGTCGTGAGGTCAGAATCTTCCAATGGTGTCGCCGCTGGGCTGCGTCATTCTCATCGAATCTAGAGCCGCTGCGCTGCACGTGGCTGCACCCAAGGACGAGTGACATCGCCACGCATTGCATCAGACTCGCCAGACAGGAAGGCGCCCATTGCTTCGACGGGCTCGCTGGCTGAGGTGACTCACTGTGCGTGCGCGGCAGGAAGGCACCGCTGCGTGAAGACGCCGTTGAGTTGTTCGCGTCAGGCGGGCTCGCGGGCTGGCCTTGACACAGATTGCCTTTTTCAGAGGCATGGACGTTCGCTGTGGACTCGCAGGCATAACAGCACCGAAACTGAAAGTGCGAAGTGAAAGTGGGGACGCAAACAAAGACGACGAAGTGTGCGCACGAAAGGCGAGCATGAGGTGGGTGAGAACGTCGGTCTGGGAGAGCATGCGTTGCCATGTTGAGGCCATCGAACTAGTCGGAACGAGCCTGGCGTTTCCTGTGGTGAATGATTGTCTTCCAGACCGGGCCTTGCGGCGCATTTCTATGGTGAAAATGTGAGCGGGCCAGGACGGGCTGCTGGTCATACGCCACATGGTGTCCGAGACCAACCAGCTACAGAGTCGGTCCGCGGTGCTGAGCCTGCTGGGGTCCGGCACAAGCGCATGCTGAGGGCGTGGCCTTGGCGCCACGTGTAGGTTCGCAATTTGGCACAATCGACTGCGGCGTGGTCTCGGCGCTACGCGGAGTTATCGTGCTTCGAAGTGTTGCCTAGCCGGACGAGCCAGCGCGCCTCTCTTCCCTGCTTTAAGTGTGCATCTACGACGTCATCAGCGCCGAGAGTGTCTTCTACGAAATATAGTACCAAAAAAATCAGGGCGCGTATATATACTCGTAGGCTACGGGAGCGTAAGGACTGTGGTTCAGAAAACGTAACTGTGTTGTACTGTTCGGCCATTTATTGAAAGTGTATGTGTTTGTGCTTGGATTGTGTGGTGCATAAATGTTTTCTTTTCTGTGAACTTGTCTGTGTCTGAGAGCCCACGAACCACTGCAACTGAATAGAAAAATGTGCTTTTTTTAACCCTTCTCAACTGCAGGAAAAATAGGTGTTTTTGTATGTTTTATTAGATGTTTCCTTGCTGAATCAACTACTTCATGTAATGTTTTATGTGATGCATGAACAAAGAGCAGAATGAATTAACTTTTCGCATGTGTAAGTTATATTAACAAGGTGTATGTTGTGCGAGAGATATAAATTGCCAGATTCAAGATTATGGGACAAAATTTAAGTGTTTGTAAAGACATGCTTCTATACTACTAAGAAAAAAATATAACAAATTATCAGATAGAAAGAAGTGTACTGCCATGTAACTGGCACCATCTCTGAAAATTCAAACTTCCTGATCGCGCAGGACTTCTTTGACAAAAATCCTACTATAGGCAGTACAGCTTGGCATGTCTTGCTGCAAAGCAGTTCTTCGATGATGAAGGGACACTAAAGGCAAATATTAAGTTGATGTTGATTGTTGAAGGTCCATAAATCTCGTGCTAGTTTGAAGGTCCATAAATCTCGCGGTGCTAGTTTCGTGCGCAGAAAGTGCTGATTTTGAAATAAAATCACATTTTAGTGGTCTGCATCTTGTTAACGCACTTCAAACCCCTCACCTGAAGGCAATCCGTTTTACGTCACTGTTTGCGTGCCCAATGTTGTCTGTCTGCTTTTGCTGCACGGCCACTGACACTAGTAGCAGCCGAGTGAAAGTAGCGGGAGACACAGCAGCAACAACGACCATTGAACAATTTTCTGCCATGGGCCCTAAAATGGCGGGTGCACGGCGTGTTTTGCTTGGTTCAATTCAGCCACGCTAGAGGACACCACCTATCCAGCCTAACCAGGCAAAAACTGAATTTTGAATCACTCGTGTCATTCCCATAGCAATGCTAGGTGGTTCTTTTTTCTATAAACCGGACAGAAATGGACAAGCAGCATTTTATTATGTCTCTTGTTGTACAGAAGCTTCTTTTTTTTATTATAGCTGGTTTAATTCCTAGTAAATAATTGTAGCCGGACACTCTGATGTCATCAGGATCATTTCCAAACTATCCCAGTCGTGTGGCCCATCATGTGGTACATTTAGCTTAATTTCTCGGTAAGTACGACACTGCTGTTGATAATATTGCAAAACATTGAGCTTTCACTCTAACATATTTGTTATTTGCCTTTAGTGTCCCTTTAAGCACAGAATTACGTCGCAATTCTTGCTGAAGCTCTTGTTTTCTGCTTGGTTTTCTAATTGCACTTTCAATTTTTATAGTTCTTGGTAAGTTTCCATCCTAGAAGGCTGGTGCTGAAAGGCGAACAGAGACAGCCCGAAGTAAAAAGCAAAACTTACCGAGGTCCTGGGCTCATTTGCATTGTCGTTCCCTCAGAATTCAACTCTGACCTCAAAGCAGCATCCTCAGACTTGCTGCTGCACGTCAAATCAATAAAGTCGGCCTCTAACACTCTGGAATGCCAATATCTGCGATTTTACGAAGCACCCTCGTGCACCCCATCCAGTGGCTGCCATTTTCGCTTTTTACTTTTACAATTGCACAACTTTGGAGCGCATTAAAAAATCAAGACCACGTGAGAAGAAACAAACTACGTAGTACACAAGGAAGCAATCTACTGTTCAACCTCTTTATCAGAGACATGCACAGGGGAGCACTTGTTGTCTTTTGTGAGAGTTGTCTCTTATAAAAAGGTACCATGCATGTGTTATGTTATCGACCACTATTTCACTGTAGGCACACTGGTGTATTTTATACCCCAAGTGTCTCGTATATGTGTGTCTCTCATGAAGGGGTTCAACTTTACAGTGTTTCTCCTTTGTGATCGATGGCGCAGTGTATTCATGAATGGCGTGATTGGTCTCGGAAGCGACAATTAAAACCATCAATAGCGTGCTATTGATGCCCTATGGGGGCAGTGTGGGAGGAGTTAACACGAGTTCTGTTTACCAAAAGATGAACAGGAATGCATGTTTAAAATATGAAACCATTCACGTTAGAAGCAGTTGTTCTTTTAAGCAGCAATATCTTTTAGGAGATTCCTATTTACTGAGAGTCTACTGTATTTGCACTGATTCATTGTATTGGGGGTTCTTGGGTGTATGGTACAAAGTTGAACGGAACACAGGCACACCTTCGTAATATTGAATAAATTGCTATGAGCATGTACAATTTATTACGATGATTCATTGTGTCAGTGTTGCTTTGTCAAAGTTTGATGGTACTTTGTTTAGTTTTAGTGATTTTTTTTGTTTGTGAGTGAACAATGTAGCATCCTGTGTTGCTTGATTCCAATGTATCGTTATGAAATAACACACTTACAATGTCACGATGGTTCACTAGGGAAGGCATTCTGCAGCCTATCGTTAGGTTAGGGGTTTGACTTTTGGCCATGATGGCCATAGAGTATCCTAAAATTAACTAGAAGGGACTCTGGTGCTTTAATCGTTCAGCCACCATGGGAATGATGGCGAGTACATGGATTTGCCTAGTCTTCGTACTTGCGGGCCTTCAAAGCACTTTGGGCTTTTTTATTGCTGTGTTTCGGTTTGTTTCAATTAAAAGAAAGAGACCATTGTGAACTTCGGTGAGCGATTTGAATTTGTAAGCCTAAAGGTTGAAGGGGTGAAGGGCAACTGGCTGAAGATTGCCATTATCGTCTCATGACAAAGCGGCCTTAGCCACGTAGAAGCAAAATGGAGTCGAAATTAGACAACACTTGTGTACTAGCCAGTATTCCATGCGCGCTGAAATGCCATTGCCTGTGCATCTCCCCATAAGACTTCAGGCCTAGAGTTCCCTCTAGTGTAATCTAACAGGAAAATACTCATATATGGTGGCTACACTTGGCTGTTGCTGTTAAAACTAAGTACTGTAATTAGTGTATTAGTACCAGCCTGGCTGATGTCCGACTACGTATGGCTGATTGTTTCCATGTTCCATCATAACGGCAATATCTTTATCACATATTGAGTTGTCTCCCAGATTATTGGATTTACCGACTAAGCTTTGTTATCTTTGTCACACGATTAAGTTGTCTATCACGTTATTCAACGTACTGAGTGAGTTTTGGAATTTTATATCATTTTCATACAGAATTGCTATAGTAATTATATTTACCCCCGGTTTATATCTGCAGCAAAAGTGAGCTTTTGTCGGCTAAAACGGGAAAGATTGCAGTGACACATGCACTGTGATGTTAGTGTTCTGAAGAAACCGTTTTGTTATCGCGCAGCACAACTCGCAACCTTCACTCCCACAAGGAGCCTGCGCCAGTGACGAAGCGACACTACCAGGTCACCTGCTACGGGGAGGTAAGCAAGAAAAGAAAAAGCAGAGTGAAGAGTTCAACATAGAAATAACAATTAGCAAAGCCATCATTTGTGTTTTTGACGACCTGAGACCTTAAATAAGCAAACCTGTCTCCGCATATAGATTTTTTTTGGTTCTCTCTAAAAGCCCACATCACCAGTATTGATCGTGTTGGACTCGTCATGCTGACCACTGAAATGTGGCATTGTGCACTCATTCAAGTCACGAAATAAATATCCATACAATCATCTATAACCTTATAATTAAGAATATTGTGACAATAAGTTTATGTAACTCCATGGTTCAAGACATCGCTAAGCCAGGGAACGGAATGACATTCACATCAAAGGTGCCACAAAAAATGCAGGCTGCTACGAAAACCGAGCATGCTTGTTTTTTTGTGTTTGTATTTTAGCTGCTCTGATTATTTTATAGTTTGTAAAAGTTGAATTTAGTAGTCAGGAAAGTTGGTGTAAACAGCAACTCTTCAGCATTGGCATTTTCTGCCAGCAGCTAATGTTATTGAAAAGAGTTATTGTCGACATCCATGGTTTCAAATTCACACGAAATTTTCATATGATACAGACTTAAATATGGGCGAGGTGATCTGAGGGCAGAAAAAACTCAGGTTAAAAAATGTTTTTATTGACATTTAATGGCAC